TTCCTCTGTTGAGTCTTGATCTTGGCTAAAGTGCTGGCTGGCTGCAGGCCCTGCTGGGAGACATGAAGTCAATTACCCCGATGCCTTTGATTGAACTGCGCTTGGCGAGCAGCCAGCCGCCATGGGCTCCTGCCCCGCAGCCCCGCACGGGGACAAGGCGCAGCCTGGGACAGCTCCTCCGTTAAACTGCAGATGCTTGTCCAGGCTCAGGCCACCTGGCTGCCCCCCAAGTGTTACTCTTTCATTCCCATTCAGAGGGCCTCGGCAGCTTTTTTGACAATGTTAAGGTTTAATAATAAAAAGCCCAGCAGCATGTAGCTGTGTAAATCAGAAAGGAGAAATGCTCCAGTTGAAAAGACATTTCAGTAAGAACAGAACCTTTGCTTCTGCAGGAGCTGCGAAGCGGCACAGCCAGGTGTGTGACCTGGTGGAGCCAGCTGGCTGGACGTCAGGAGCTGGCTCCGATGGGCCCATGGAGCGGAGCAGCTCTCCCCATGCCTCCTGCACTGGGGACCCCGGGTGAGCACAGCGAGCAGTGGCCCCTCTACCTGCTCTGCACCCGTCAGTGCTGCCAGGCTTGCCTGGATGCCAGGCAGGAGATGCTGACACTGCCCTTCTTGGGATACTGGGAGGTAGAAGAGGACTTTGCAGTCCTGTGCTGGGGAGGAGGGGAGATGCACTCCTGGAAGCCCAAATATGAGCTGGCTCAGAGGCATTTGTTGCTCTCAAATGCTGGTCCCAGCACTGCCAGACAGCTGGAGGGGGAAGCCCCTGGGAGATGCGGGCCTGCAGGGACCCCAGACCACCGAGACAAGCTGCATTTAATGCATAAAGATCACAGGAGTCACCACGTGCCATCACCCTGTCCCCAGCGAATCTATGAGCTCCGGAATCAATGCTCAAACAGTGGCAATTCTAGACTGCAGGAGGAAGAGCGAAGAAGCGACAGCCCCAGCAGAGAGGGGACTTTGCCGGGTGGGAATGACCACAAGATCCTGCAAAACACCCACACCACTGCAGCGCAGCTGGGGAAGCACCGTCCTGCCTGTGGTCATGTGCTGTGAACTTTCTCAGCATTTCCAAGTAAACCTGCCCTGCTCTCTCCGTGGCTGCTGAGGCGAGACCTTCTCTTTTCCTCCCAGCAGCTCCTTCGGACATTGCAGGGAATAAAAATCCTTCTTGGACTCAGTAGCAGAGGCCTGGAGGCTTTTGTTCCTCTGTCCTGAGGTTGCGCAGCTCCTCTATGAGGGCTCCTGCTAGCATTTGCCCCTCCTTGCCACCCTTGCTGTGGCAAACAGCTGAAGAAAGCAAAGCAGAAGCACCAGCCCTGAGTTTGTATCCCAAATGGGCTGTTTTAAACAGAAACTGAAGCCCAGGATGGAAAAGCTCCAAACCAAACCAATTAACTACCCAGTGAATAATTTATAAGACAAACACCATTTCTTTTCCTCCTGAACTAAATACAAATGGTTTACGATCTCCTCAAGCCTCCTTGTTACCTAAAAATCTTCCCCAGCTCCTTCACGGTGGGAACATCTGGGCTGCGGTTGCAGGCAAGCAGGGGATAAGGACATTTGGGCGGCACTGGCTGGTGCGGTTGGGGCGTGCAGACCTCCTGGCTGATGGCTGCTCCGTGACCTGACCCCTTTTTTTAACCCTTAGGATCAACTACACAACATCAATAAACCTGGCACTTAGACATTCAAAATGGCCTTTCTGCCCACATACCTTAACCGTCACTGAACATCAGCCGTTTCCACAGTAACCCAGCGAGCGGCTGTGACGGGCCCCCGCCACCCCACCAATTCAGGCTAAAAAACATCCCTGCCGTCACTGGGGAATGCACCGGCACTGCCCCAGCACCAGCATCCCCCAAAGCAGCACCAGGCATCATAGTGCAATGGCCCCAGTGGGATGTCCCCAGCTGGTTCTGCAATCCGCAGGGCTCCGACAGGCTTCCAGACAGGCTTCCAGGGTGATGCGGATTTGAGCACGGGTCCCCAGAGCAGTCAGGACACTACTTTGAGCACAACCCTCTAATGGTTTACAACTCACGGTGGAAACAGATTGACTTGCAGCCCAGGGCTTTAGCCAGTGACACGTTCAGTGCAATAGAATAATTGCAGAAAGCAGATTAGCACTGCGAGGTAATGATCTTTTTGCCTGCTTTTCTTAGCCTGCCTCATCCATTGCTGTCCTGCATAGGATTAGCATATGCCTCATTTTGGAGCAGACATTCTGGCTTTAAAACCCAGCCCTTCGGATAATGGCTAAATGAAGACAGATAACAGCAGCCTCTGCACTAGCAGGGTGCTGTTGAGCCTACTGAGGTTCACAAATGGGATGCTCGCTCCGCTCCAGGCAGGCAGAGGAGCTTTCGGTGTCTGCAGGCAGCTGCCTCCAATTTCTCAGGGAGATAAAGCCGCCGTGCATGCATACGTGCGTGGGGGAAGTTGTGTGTGAGCTGCCTTTTCCCCAGCAGTGAAGAGACTGGACAGAGGGGACACGGGAGAAAGTCTGCTCCTGCAGCAGGAAAGGGCTGGTGGTGTCAGGGAGTTAATGACTGCTGCCGAGCATGGCTGAGGGGAGCGGCACTGCAGGATCCGAGGAGAAGCCACGTGGGAATTGCCACCTAATTTATAGCAGATGGATGTCTGCCTCAGCCTCCAGCACACTGCCGTTCCTGCGGCTGGTCTCGGCTGCACACCGGACGGCAGTGGGGGACAAGACTGCCCTGTCCCATGCCAGGGAGGGGATGGTGGCACCAGGGGGGCCGTGCACCCCACCACGAGCATGATGTGCTCCCGGGGCTGAGCAGCACCGCATGGAGCAGAGCCAACACCGCACGTCTCCCCGTGCAGCACTCACCGCCGGCGAGACAGCCACGGAGCTACATGACAGCGGGCACACGCCGTGCTCCGAGCGCTCACAGCGAGCCACGAGCAGTCAGTCACAGGATCGTGACCAGCCTATTACGAACACATTAATATCGCAATTTATACACACGTATCCGAGGGCATGGGCACCAGGAGGAACCAGAAGGGTTACTCATGGTGCAGACGATATCCCTTGGTTATACCCGCTCTGTGAGCAGTAAGGGGCAGACCCGGTGGGCTCCTGCATAGCCCAGGCAGCCAGAGGGGCCAGGCCAGGAGGACTTCCACCTGCCCAGGCACCAGGGGTGAGGTTTGAGGGTGGCGACAGGCACAGCAGGACACCAGGACTTCACCTGGGCAACAACTGACCTCGAAGGGATGCAGAAGAGGCAATATTACAGATATTACAGTTGACCAAATACCCACTGAATTACAAATGCAAAAAACAAGGGCTTCACCGATGAGGCTGTTGGAGGGGACAGCCGAAGCAGAGGGGATGAGGATGAGCGTAGCTCTGCCAGAGGCTACCGGGGTGTTACTGCAGTTCAGCAGAGCTACTGGACCAGGCACAGTGGTAGCAGGAAAACAGGCTTGGAGGAATTAATGAGCCTCGTGGGAGGAAGTGCTAAAAACCACCAGGAGAGGAGGCAGCAGGAGAATCCTAAACAAATCCACCACAATTGCATCTGTGAGGCTACGGCTGAAATAGCGAGCGCAAGGAATGGGCTGCAGAGAGGACTGAAGCTTAGAGACCTTGCAAGAGATGAGAAAACGCAGAGGCAGCCAGCAAAGCAGCTCAGCTGCATCAGCCTTGGGGGGAAAAAGGATGAATGTGGGGACACCACATCAAAACTGACCTACAGCCAAAGGCTCGGAGGCCGTGTGCAGATACCCCTTGTCTGCTGTGCAGCAGCATCTCCATGCCCCACAGCGGTCACAGCTCCACTGAGCCAGGTGTCATGGCACGAGACAGTCTCTGCCAAGCACTGCTCCTGTCTAATTTAGCCCAAACTCGATCCTAACTCTATCCTCTTGAATTCAAGGTGGGAGGAGAGGATGAACCTTGGCATTTATCTGTCAGATCCCTGCCTCTCAGCTCTGTCCTTCCCCACGGGGCAGGTAAGAGCTGGGCATGGGCAGGCAGTGAAACCAAGGATGCCCTGGAGCAGGCACACTGCTACCTGCCTGCGAGTCTGCCGGAGACATGTCCTGCCTTATTAAAAACATGAGCAAAGGCCAATGGAAGATCTCAGGATCTTGTGGCTGCTGGACCAGAAACCAAAGAAGTCAGTAAAGCTCTTACTGTATTGCTGACAGTCCTGAAGGGTTTGGGACCCAGGAGAGACAAGAGACTACGAGGGGTGAGGAGGGGTGGCAGGGCCTGACCATGGCAATCGACTACCAGAACCAGCACTGTACCATGCAACAACTAGCAGGGGATGGCAGGATGAAAACGCACAGGGCCCAGGAGGGCATGTACGCCAGGGAGTGGAAAGACTGCTCTGTGGGCTGAAGGGGAGGATAACGGAGGCAGCTGGCAAGACACCCAGGGGGTGGCTTACTGGAGCCAGGGACACCCATGCTGAGGGACTCCCAGCCATCTCTTCTTGCACCCTGAGCCTGACGCCCCCTATCCCATCATTTCCAGTTCATTCAATGATCCTGCATGGCTTGACAAATTCAGAAGCGCTGCTAAGGCAAGAAAGTCCACCATCCAGCCCAGGTAGGTATGGCCATGGACTGCTCCTCTCCAGCCCTGAGCAGAGGCAAGGCCCTGCTACATGCCTGGCCTGTGTCATTCCCATCTGCCGAAAGGACCCTGCTCAAATGTTGCGTAGGTGTTTGGGTCATGGCCAGAATGTCACAACGCTTGCACTGCACACCCTTGGCATTAGTCCCTGTCTCTATGGCACAAGGAGCCAGACAGGGAGGGGAGATGCCGCAGACCACGCGCCCTGTGGCCGCAATGTGAAAGGAGCTTTAGAGTCCCTAGAAATGTCCAAGCAGATGCTCCAACATGCACTTGCGTCCTGAGCCCTGTCAAAGGTGAGCACTGAACCCCCAACCACAGCCTCTGCACTAGCCCCTCTCGCTGGTGCCTGCCTCCTTGGCACCCGTGCCTACCTTGGCATCCAGGATGCTCGTCTCCACCCGGGCCACCCCATGGTTCTCCCTGAACAGCTGGATCTTGCTGACCTTGCTGAACTCCGACAGCACTGTGGTGAGGTTGGTCTTCAGGTCGATGACGTGGCTGATGCCATGCCGGGGTCCCACCAGAAGCGTGGTGGCTGGCTGCTTCTCGTCCTGGTAGCACGAGCACAGGGAGAAAGACAGACAGACGGACAGGGGTCAATAAAGGCACCCTGGAGCTGCACAGGCTGCGCCTGGCTCTCTCCATGGAACCAAGCCTCGATATCGGCAGCTCAGCCGGGTCCCAGATGGCTCTTGCAGAGCAGCAGGTGAAGCTGGTGCCATGAATCCCCTGCCCTGAGCCTCTCTGCAGAGTTGGGAATGGTGTGCAGGATGCCAAGGCTATTTAAAAATAACACATTGAACTGAATGTCCACATGAAATATTCAGACCTGCTGGTGTCACTACAGAAAAGTAAGAGCATGTTATAAATCTGCCTGATCTGACATTGCCTCTGAGAGAAGGAAGCAGAGGAGGGACTGAATGCATTTTAGAAGAGTAGAAAGACTAAAGCCTTGACTGAAAACAGAGATCTTTCTTGATCTGGTCTGCCCAGGAAGGTTGCTTCAAGCCAGACGTGGAGGTGAAGAGGAGCTAGGCAGACCAGTCCAGAAGAGAATAAGGGAATAGTTTTTACCACTTCCATGTGGTTCAACTCCTAGGCTGGCTCAGTCATCGCTTTGGTGTCAGAGATGAATAAAAGGCAGGGCACCCACGTCAGAGGTGAGCTGGCCAACGCTGCACACCCAGGCAGTGTTGGAGGCAGGCTCTGGCCAGTCGGCCACCGCACCGACTAGACACCACGTGATTCTACCTTCACTGATCTCCTACAGACAGCCCTTTGAGCTGCGAGGTGAGGAGCTCTGAGGTGTGGTGGAAGCAGAGCAGATCAAAGGCTGCAAGAGATTGAATCCAGAAGGCAAAGCAAGGGAAGCAAGGGAAGTGCTGAGACCTTTGGTGGGGGTAAAGGGAAAGATGGCAGAGAGATGACACTTACATGGAGACCCCTGGCTGGGAGATGGAGTGAGAAGGATGGAGAGCCTTAGCGGGTCCACTGTTCTCCTGTTCGGCTTGGTGGCTTTCCTCCTGCTGTGGAGGGGTGGAGATGCCTCTGATTGAGATGAGGGAGGAGTGGGCCATGATGGTGGCAGCTTCCTGAGAGCTGCCAAGTAGCGGTTGGGCTGGACCATTGCTGATGGAGACGGTAAAGCCATCTGGGCTGTTCCCTGCGTGGACAAGCAGGGAACACGGTGGCCTTTGCCAAGGATGGCCCTCCTCCGAGACGGATGGCAGGATGCTGCCAGGGCAGGACCGAGCTATAAGCATGTGCCTGAAACTGCTGTGACTTCATGGAGCCGGTCATCTTGTTGCCCAAAAGGCTGGCAAGAACAGAGCTGACCCTGACCCTGCAGAGCTGAAGATCTGACTTACTGTCAGCAGAGGCTCTAAAGGCTTTTCTGGATGGGCTTGGACCCCAGCAGGACACAGCAAGAGACCGAGGGAAGTAATTTCTGTGGGAGCCACATCTCCTGTGGCTCTCCCCTCCAGCACACACTCAGGACCAGTGACAAGCACCTCCCAGCCCATCCTGAATTACCGTACCAGTCCCACTGTGTTGAAGAGGACCCCAGCAAAGGTGGGCAGCTCATTCAGGATCCTCAGGTACTGCAGCTTCGCCTGGGCCGTGGAGACCTGACAAAACACATCACATGGGTGATCACCACCAGTACAAGGGGGAAGACATGCAAGAGGCTGGTGCAAACTCAGGAGCTCCCAAGCAGGGATGTGCAGCCCGTTGGTGGACAACTCGGGGCATGGGCTGTGCTGGCAGCAAGCCTCGGGGCTTGACATGGGGTGGAGGGGGTCTCCGCTCCCCTGCTGTCCTGGGCAGATGCTGGGAGGTAACTCAGAGCAGAGGCACAGCCAGGGAGGAGCCCAGATGCTTGATGTATAACTCCCCCGGGAGATGTATAATCCCCCCAGAGACCTATAACCCTCATGAGGAGCTCTGATGGCAGTGGGGACTGAGGCAGTGGCTCAGCAGCCTCCTCCAGATCGTTCCAAGCCCAGAAGCAAAGATAACGATAAACATAAGCTTAACTGATGTGTGCCACTTCAGCCAAGCTGAGAGCCAGCTCTCGGCTGATCTCACTCCAGTGATCATCGCTGCAGTCCCCGAAATCCAGATCAGCTCTCGGAAGTGGATTCAGGAGAGCAAGCGGCTGCCTGGCTGTCACCCCGGGATTTATCTCCCATCCAAGGAAACTTAAGCAGCAATAACAGGAGACCCCGAGCAGCTGGGGACAATGGGGCACGCTGCCACCCCGCTAGCCCCGAGCCATGGCCACACAGGTTGGGCTCACCTTGGTGCCGCCAGGCTGGTTCTGGTGGGCTTTGAGCTGCTGCGAGAGGGATTTCCGGAGGCTCTTCTCTTTGACGAGCTGCAGGAGTGAGGGGGGCAGGAAGGGCTCCAAGCCCCACTCCTTCCTGTGGGGAGGAAAGCCTGCCTGTGCCTCCAGGCCAGAGACCCCGCCGATGGGCAGAGGGCCAGAAGCCAGGGATGCTGCTCGAGAGCATCCCTTGCCATCAGAGGGGGCCGGAGCCACACCAGCACCCTCCTGGTGTCACAGCTGGAGCAGCGGGAGGCCCTGCCCCGGGTGTCTGAGGGGATGGGACCCCCGGCTGGTGTCACAGCCATGCAGCAGGGCCAGGCTCTGCAGCTGAGCCCAGCTCCCACTCACATTCATGTAAGGATAGGGGATTCCAGGCAAATCCCTGAACCTCTCTGGGGGGTCCTCCCAGGGTGCCATCTCCCTGCTCCCTCCCCGCGCACACTGGGCAAGGCCAGCCTGCAGACGGGCTCCGTATGGATTTAGGACCACCGGGAGCTGCAGGAGGGCTGAGCCAGGGCTGCACAGCTTGATGACGGGCTGAGATTACGCAGCCACAGTGCCTTCTCCTTGCCTTGGATGCCAGGCGGAAAAACAGCCTGGGTTCCCATGGGAATGATCCTGGGCTTGCAGCAAAAATCCCTGCCAGCCCTGCCAAGGCTGCCGTGTGCTGCTGGATGTCAGCGTGTGGGGGTCTTCCCCAGCCCCGTGGTGGGACCAGAGGCTGGGGGTCCCTGCTGCCCGGCCCGGGG